CTCTGTGCTCTTCTTTGGTATAAAGCAGATCAAATTCCCAAGGCATTCAGCACATAACACTTAAATTTCAACCTGCCTAGCTGCTACCAAACTCTAGTCAATTACAAATTTTCACAACTCTTAAAAAAAAATCAAAAAAAAAAAAAAAAAAAAAAAAAAAAAAAAAAAAAAAAAACCAAAAAAACCCGCAAAAAAGTTTTCAGAACAGGTAAGCCACTTCCTCAAGCCCTTCAAAATTACCTTATCTTCCCCCTAGTCCAGGTAGGCAGGCACACACTGAGAAAAAGAAAGAAACATCAGAAGCAACAGGGAAAGATCATCCCAGCCAATGAAGAGGAAGGAAAGAAAGGGGAGGAAGGGAGGAGGAAGAGAAGGGAAGACAAAAAGAAACACAGAAACATCCATAATCTAAATTAAAACATAGCTTGAATTTTATTTTTTTTTTTATTTCTTCAATGGGGAGAAGAAGAGGAGAGGGAAAAAAAAGGTTGGTCACCATTTTTAGGCTGGTGATGGCAAATCCCAGCTGCTGAGCCCCTCCACAAGGAATGGAGGAAGAGAGTTTTGCTCGAGCTGAAGACACGGAAAGATGGAGAAAGTTTTAAAAAACGGGTTTTTTTAAAAGGCAGGGGGAGAAGAAGGGGAGAAAGAGAGACGGGAAAGGGGAGCGGGATATGGGAGAGAAACTCGCCCCGCCACTTACAGGTGGGGCATGCGGAGCCGGGGAGCCGGGAAGCCCCGGGATGAGCCGGCGGGGAAACTCGCTCAGGAATGGCACATACTTTGAAGGAAGATGAAGAACGAAAAAAAAAAAAAAAAGAGGGAGAGGGAGGGAGGGAGGTCAGCCGGTGCTACAGCAATACGATTAACTAGCGCGGAGAGAGAGAGAGAGAGAGGAAAACTTGATCCACCGGTTCCTTACGGATTCCACGGGATCGGGGGGAGCGGAGGGATTGCGGGGCGGGATGAGAAGAGGGAATGAGGGGCGGGATGGGAAGAGGGGGGCCCGGTGGGCGCACTCACACCCCGCGCAGCAAACCCGGGCCAACTTCCCCGGAGCGCCGCTCCGGCCCTGGGCGACGCCGGGCTCCGCGGCTCATCCTGCCTCTCCCCGCCCCTGCCACAACCTGTCAAAGTCATGGAAGTCCTGCCTCGCTTGTCATTTCATTCCCTTTCCCCCTTCTCCCCGCCGCAGGCCGCAGCCCCCCGGGGGCGCGCAGGTGGCGGCGGGCGCTGAGGGAAATGGCAGCGGGGCCGGGCTGGGTAACGGACCGGCGAGACCCGCCGCGGCTTCTGCCCCTGCTTTCTTCTGGTCTTCCTGGGGGCTTTTCCGTTTGGCTGCTTTTTTGGTTTTTTTTTTTATTATTATTTTTTTAATATGTATATTTCGGGCTAACAGCAACAAGTCATCGGCGCCCGCGGGGATGCTGCAGAGCCGCGCTCGGCTCGGGGACCCTCGGCACACACAGACCCGCACGGACTGAGCCCCGCGTCCCGCCGGCCCCGGAACGGAGCTGTCCCTCCTCCCGCCGGGGAAGGGGGCACCAGGGAGGGAGAGGAGGGGAGGGGAGGAAGGGAGCGGGGAAAGAAAAAGAAAGAAATAATAAGAAGCCAGGCGCAGATTTACCTCAGCCGCGCAGGCAGTGAGTCAGTTCCATCCCCCTTTTGTTTGTGTGTTTATTAGTGTCGGCTCCCTCTGCCCAGTGGAGGTGTGTTTGTGCACGGCAGTTGGCTGTGGGGGGACTAAGGCGGCGGAGGAGCCGTAGCTAAGGGTAATCCTGTTTTTACTTCCTCCATCTTCAGAGAGCAGAGGGTTAGCCTGGGACAGCTGGTCAAACCCCGAGAAACCGATCCGGCGGCGGCGGCGGCGGCCGCTCTCCCTCCCTCCCTCCCTCCCTCCCACAGACACACACACAGACACACACTCATTCGCTCCCTCCTTCACACGCTCCCTTCCCTGCCTCACACACACATACGCGCACACCCTGCCTCTCTCTCACACACACACTCCCTCACAGATACGCGAACACTCATACACACCTCCTCCTCCACACACACACACTGTCCCTCCCTCAGGCTCAAACCCACACACGTTCATTCACTCCCTCACACTCAGTTCCCCCCCCCCCCGCACGGACTCACGCTCTCTCCCTCACGCACGGCCAGCCCCGCACACATTCTCACTGCCTCACTCCCACTCAGCCCTGCACACGCACTCCCCCACACTCAGCTCTTCCCTCACAGTCCCTCACACGGACACGCTCGCAGCCTCGCTCGCACTCAGTCCCTCACACACACGCACTCACACTCACACACACACACACTCACGCTCGGTCCCTCACGCCCTCGCTCCCCCCCTCAGGCCCTTTCCCGCCCCGCAGCGCCTCAGCCCCCGCGGGGCCGGCGCGGCGGGGGGCGGGTGCCCGAAGCCGGCGCGAGGCCGCTCAGCGCGCTCGGCAATCGATTACAGGACAAGTGCAGCCGCCGCCACGGTGCGCGCCCCGCGCCTCACGCGGGCGGGCGGGCGGGCGCGCGCCCCCTCAGGGCACGGCCGCGGCCCCTCAGGGCGGCACCCCCCGCGCTCGCCGGCGGCCGCCGCCCCGGGACTCCCGCCGGCCGGCCGGAGGGACCGGCGGAGTCATGATTCAGCACTTCTATTTATAACCGCCCGGAGGGTGGGGGCGGCCCGGCTCGTTACTTAATTAAACATTCACGATATGAGCGGAGTTTCCGCGTGGCGACGGCCCGGGTGCAAGTAAAGCCTCTATACGGCATTCCACCCCGGTCCCGAGAAGACGGTGTGCTGGGAAATGTGTAAAAACGAGCCTTAATACCCTGAGGGAAATCCTGTCGCTGCCTTACAGCCGCGGCTGAAGGAGTGGCCCCGAGGGCTTCCCACGGCGAGGGGACATCGGCACACTGAGACACACCCCACAGACCCACTCAGGGGCTTGCCCCAGCCCAGCACCCTCGTCCGAGGGTGAATGTTCGATGTGCTTCCTCACAGAAGTTTTCCCTGCTCTCCGCAGCTCCTGGACCAGTGCCACAGCATCGTCCCGCTCTCTTTGAACTGCTGGGTGCTGCTGACCCTGGTAATGCCATCATTAGGCACCAGAGTTCACTGCCCACTGAGAAGCTGAGGTTGTGTCTATCATGCATGATATACATGGACATTATGAAATTTCAGTTTGCAAAATTAAGCAAGTAAGCACTAGAAAGGGTTGAGATTCAGGCTGCCCATACAACCTTGAGCATTTTGACCCAACAGAGCAACTTATGGGAATAATGGAAGCGTTATCCTTGATTTTCCTTGGTACCAAAGGAGAGCAACAGCTGCATTTTGCCACTGAGTTCCAGACAAACGCCAATGGAACTACTACCACCATCACTGCATACCCGCATTCAAGGGCTCTAGCTACTGGAAAATTTTGCTTTGAGGCAAAATCTTTGCTACAAAATCTTGAAGCAAAAGCCTTAACTCTTGCTCTCACTACACACAAGCACAATACTTGTTGTTAGAGACAAGGTAAGCCCCAGGTTTTATTAGCACTGCCACTTTACATCAAATGTGATCCTGCTTTGTAGAACAGCAGCAGAGCCACCCAACCCTAAGAGAGGGAAACAAACCCCACTTTGGAAAAGACATTAAATGATTCAGCCAGCCCAAGACACTACAGTTAATTGACAGCTCTCTCCCCAACACCACAAATTTGAGCCAATTAGTCATTATGCCACATCTGTGAAGTGGCTTTAACTGAACTCTTCTCATTTTGCATAGGAAGAAGGCTGAAAGGTCAGGGGACTGGCCACAGAGAGCACTCAGAGCTGAGCCTAGAAAGCAGACTTCATGTTTCCCACGCCTACGTATCAACAACTAGACTTGGCTTGCCTACACCAGAAAATAGACTGGCATAGCTGGAGCTGGGTAATTATACCGTAACAGTTTATGCCGGAATAACTCTCCTTGCGGACACTCTCCTCCAGATGGAAAGTGTATTCCCAAAAGCTGTCCAAATGAATTCACTCAACAGCACACACTTGGTGTTTTGTCTTTCCCCCCACCCCCTTCCCCTCTTCATTTTGGGGGGTAAAAATTCCTGAGATGTGGGTCTCGGCAGCATTTTGAAGGCTTCGATCACTTTTACAGACCATTAAAAGCGGGGACAAATGCAAAACATGTCATTGTAATGCTACAAGTCTTGTTGTCAAGATTTTTATGGTGCTTTTCATCAAAATGTTGAAAACTGAAAGCTTCCAGCTGGCTCTCCATACAGGTAATAACTTAATAGCTAACAGCTTTTCTCCCAAAGCTGCTGGAACCTGCTTGAGCCATGGAAGCTGATGGGAAAAGCCAGACCCATCCTCTACAGCAAATATTTTCTGATTTTTTTTAATCAAGCTGCTCTGCAAGTTTTTGAAACCAAATGAAGCTGTGAAGACAAGGAGGAGTGACCAAAGGAAGAGTATGGGGCAGGGAATAAAGTGGCAGGACTTGACTTTGTAAATCAGCTTGCTAACTCCAAGGGCTGCAGAGATGAGCACATCCTCACTACAGCAACAGTGGGCTGAATCACTGGTTTCAAGGCAGAACTTGGCTCTGGGCTGTAACAAGAGCTCCACAGTGATTTACATTGCCCAGCTCAGCAGAGCTGCTGTGGAGATCTTGAGGGCCAAGTGATGGCTTGGGGATCAAGAGGGCTGATTCACATCCAACAATGACCAGAGGGGCCTCTACATGATTTTGGCCAAGCCATTATTGCTCTGCATTTCAGTTCTGCATTTCTGAAACACAGCAATTAACACAAGGAGAGCTTTTCTTTTGCCAGGCAATGTCCAAAGAGCAGTTCTCAACTTTGCCACATTACAGAGGTCCCTCTGGCACACCTCTGAGAGAGCCATTCCCGGAGCTCCTGGGAGCCCCTTTCCATTGCCATCCACAGGACCCCTTCCTGCCCTGGGACAGTGTCCTGCCACACAAGTCCAGCTGTCCCCAGGATCACAGGCTGTGCCAACAACCACCTACTCAAGAGCTGTCCTCCTTGGCACTTGCTCAGTCTTCCTGAGCCTTGGTTCCCCTCCTGTGTGCTGGAGATAACAGAGATCCTTGGTCTCACAGGAGAGTTTAATTTCTCATCATTTGACAGCAATGTTCTTTGATAGGTTTGATGGGCTCAGCCTGTTTTAAGCTAAATATTTAAACATTTAACCAGTATATGTGTGTGTGTATATGCACACGTGAGAATTATTATTTTAAACCTCCATCATGCTTTTTATATAAATTCTGGTTTAAAGTTTCTAATTTCCCCTTTTTTACAAGCCTGTATAAGGTCAAGGTGCTCTAGGAATTCACTCCCAAAACCTCCTATTGGGTGTTCACATAAATAGTAGCTCAGCACAGCGTAAGCTCCAGACCTATGTATACTTTGGAAATTAGAAGAGCCCGATGTGCCACACTGTTGCCTTGGACAGCGCTGAGCACGGCAGAGCAGCAAACCCCTGCATCGGCTCTCTTCTATTGGACTGAGCCCTCTCTTCCCTTCCCACAGAAGGGGCACTTTGAAGACAAACTGGATCCAGTCCCAATATACTGTGAAGAGGACAAACACAGGCCTTTCTTTACTTAACTGTGCATTGGGCAATCTAAAAACCATATAAGCACTAATCTATTTGTTAGTCCATCTCCTCCTCTTCCCTACAATGAAGCACTGTTTTATGCTTATATGTATCAATAAATGGACCTATAAAGAAAATAATGTACATCCTTGAATACCTTCAGAGCATACTCTATTAATTTTGAAAGGGATGCAACATACTGTACCCCTTGTATTTCACCAAGATAAAAGCCTATAGATTAATTCCTATTAAAACAGTTGGTATTTCCAGGACATGCAGATGTAATTTATGGAGAGGCATAATACTCATATTAGCTCAAAGACCACAGAAACTGTAGATCTGTGTCTGTTAGTGTAGTTGTACAGGCATTCATTGTACAGAGAGCAGTTGAAAAGGCAGAGTGTGTCATCTGAATACTAAATTTGTGAATAGTTTCTCACTTGGGCTGGTTAGGCTTTTCAAGAGCAGCGGATGTTTTGTGGGGGACTTTGTAAAACATTCTGCTAATATATCACATGGTTCCTGTATTTTCTTCTATCTTTACTGTCAGAGCTTTATTCATGAAGACACAATATTTGATTCTTAAAAGGGAACCAACTCCTGCTCTGTGCTCTCCACCTGAATTCAGTGTGCTCCATGTGAGACTATTTTTACAACAAATACTTCTTCCTTTCTCTATAAAGTGGACAACTTTAGGTGTATATAACCCAGAAGTATACAAGAAACAGATCTTTTCCCTCACCCTCACATATTCCAATTGCTATATCCAAGTTACTTGGAAAACAGTATTATATTTTCTTTTTTATCATCCACAATAAAAGTGTACAGATTTTGTCTTTTATTATAGAGCTATAAATGTATATGGATATTTCATTTATGAGGAAGGGAAATTCTAAATTGTCCTAACAAAATTTAATTATGACACAAGCTACTAACAGAGAATCCTTGAGCCTGGGATCATTTTTATTCGTTGCTTGTACAGCACCTAGCACAATGAGGATTTATGCATGACCTAGCTTCCCACTTAGTACTTCAACAAAAATAAGAATTAACTCTTGCTCTGCTTATGGCTGGAAAACACAGTACCAACAGAATTATATACATCCCATACTGCACAGAGAACCACAGAATTATGAAGCCTGTGAAGCAGCCAATACAGAAGTGTGTTGGATCTATTTAAATTACTGGAGCTGCTGAAGGCATTTAGGCAGAGAGACAGTTGTTACTCAAAATTTGGCAAAATGACAGGTATCAATTAT